CAAATACTTATATTTGTTGCAGCATATTCGGAAAAAAAATTTAATTAAAAAAAATAATTTTATTCATCATATAAAAAAAATATATATATATATATAAATATAATAGTTTCGAAACAAATTTGGATCTTATCGTCATGTTGTGCGTGTAATTCAAATTTATAAGAAAAACAATGCGGGTCTATTAATCAATGTTTATAATTGGCTAATGAAGCGATTTGAACTGTCTGCTTTATCGTCGCCAAATGTTTGCACGTGTGACACTGCGGAATTTTGAGTTCGCCGCATACGGCCACAGCGCCTTGCTTCCTATCCTTGAGCCAATGTTTATCTCGGAAACTTCATCGTTTTCCTGCCAAGTGAATTTTGACAATCATGCGCAAGTCATTTGAAACTACCTTGACCAGAGGCGATGACAGTGCTGGCTCAGTCATTGTTTACTCCTTTATCGTTAGTCGCTTGTACATTGTTACATATCATCTAAATTAGTTGGTAGTGAGTATTAATTACTTAAGAATTTTTGAGACCTGGAAATTCAGTCTCTTTCTTCAGGCCCGGTTTTTTATTTTCTGATTAACTCGTGGTTCAAACTTAACCTGATAATATAAAAATTGTGATTTTCTATTTATGGTCAATTACTAAATTGATGACTGAAGTTTTACAGTTATCAGTACAGTTATCAGTACAACGATCAGTTTAATGATTAATTGTAAAAATAGGAAAAACACAATTTTTATATTATTATCAAATTAAGTCTAAATGACAAGTTAATCAAAAGATGAAAAACTAAGCCAAGGAAAGAAACTGAATTTCCATTTTTCGAAATGTCAAATTTTTGAGTAATAAGTATATCACTGCCTATCTAATTTAAATAACATTTAACAATGTATGAGCAATTGACGAAAAAAAGAGAAAATAATGTATAAACCAGCACTCAGAATTAACTACATAAAAAAAAAATTAATCTTAAATCAAGACGGATATTTTCATATATAAAAAAAAATGTTACAATCTTAGAAAAATTTTAATCTTAAATTGAACAAAAGTAATACTTGCATCAATATAAATTCAATCAAATCAAGATTAAAATTGTTAAGAAGATTGTATTATTCTTGCTTACATGTAAAGATATTTATCTTGATTTAAGACTAATTTTTTCCTTCTGTGCAGAAATAAAAAACAGGCTTTCGAGTTTCTCGTACAAATTTCATGTCGGACAACGCGAGAAACGTGCGTCCACTCGCGTGTGTGGACTCGCGAGAAAAGGATCGGAATGATTTTTCGCTCCTGACGTCACACGAAAGCAACGAGGAGGCGGCGGAGACTTAATGCCCGAGCGGGTTAAAGACGCCAGACTGTAAAATGAGTTCTGTCATTGCCGTCGCGGCTGTAAAGTTTTTCTTTAATGTCCCGTCCGCTTTCTAAACCACTCTCTGCCTCGTCGTGAACGAGTGAACGCCTATTCACGTAACGCAACGTATCTTCCCACAACGTAACCCGGCGGTAACGAGCGCGCGGCGTTTCTCGCGAACCGTGCACAGGCATCGTGCACACACCCTGCACACCGTGGTGTGCACGTAAATCCCTCCACCGGTTATTTCGAAAGACTGCGTCCGCTCGTGGATTAATTTATTATCCATTTCAGCGTAATCGCGTTAGCCCTTAACCGGTGAATGCTCGCGTTGCTCAGGTAAACAATCGCTTTCATCTTACACGCCGCGCTTCAAGTATTCTTCGTGAATGAATGACTCTACGTACCTCTCATTGTGCGAGGAGGGTGCAAAGTTTTGCAGCGCCTCCCGCCTGCCTTTATTTATGGATCTTCTCTTCAAGTCAATCTGGAATTATTCCTTTCCGTCGCGGAAATTTCGAATTGTGAGTTTAAACCGTGTTTCGCGCGTGCCGCGGAAGATGTGCGAGACGAGAGAGAGAGAGAGAGAGAGAGAGAGACTCTTCATGCTTTATTTAACGGGAGATATAAAAGTTAACTTTGCACAATGCGAAAGCTATGGCATGTAACTGTAACGTAACCGCGGTTTATCAAAATCGGAGAATGAACGCGGCATCGCGATACGTATCGGTGATACACAATGCAACGCCGAGTTAATTGTGCATGCAGACGAGATCCGATCGAATCCGCACGCCTCCTTCATTCATTTTTAATGATCACCGCCTTTTCAGATGAAGCGGAAAATTTCGATCTGATTTCGGTTTACGACCGTGTGACTCTCCGGAGTCATGTGCTTACGTTGGCACGCGATATCTAAATATCAATACCCCCCATTTGCGTTTTAATGGCACGTATGACGGTGACGTCGGGCCCCGGTCGTGGTCTTTTACTCTTCGACGATCTTGACGATCCGCTTGCAAGATCACGTTCCACTTATCGGGAGAGCTCCCCTCCCTTCCCCTCTTTCTCCCTCTCCTCTCGATCGAAATTTATGCGCGACTCGGTAAAAGGCGAGGAGCGCGCGATACGGCTGCCAAGTTACATAAAATACCATCGAGCATTGTTTCGATTCTATTCCTGGGTGCAAGCAGGCCTTACCGAGATCGGCACGGCCAAGCAACTTTCACCTAATCTCATTCCGCTCGAGACGATCGTGCGCCGGTTCGTCGTCGATGGATCGAAAAATCGATCCGCTATCTGACGGGCCCGTGATCCTCGACGGCGGCGGCGGCGGCGGCGGCGGCGGCGGCAGCAACTTCGTCGTTTCATTTTCCACGAAGTCCGTTTCGATCAGACTTTATCCTTTCACCTCGCGAAGAGATGGCGAGCATCCCGCTGCGCGAGTGCCAGAACTTTCCGCGGTAATACGACTGCGGAATCGATAGTCAATACGATTCTGCGAATCTGCAGGAGGAAGCTGCGATTCGTTCGGATCTGCGATTCCGATAGAAAATTGTATTTTTGTTATACTTCACGCATGTTGACTCGTTTGAAGAAGCCAAAAAGTTATTTTTATACTTTCCTTTATTCTCGAGAGTTGCAAAGTGAAAAGAGCTTGATCATTGTAGGAGGAAATTTGAACTTGGAGAAGTAAACAGATTTACAGATTTACTTATTTATGGATTTTATCTGAATTATAGATTTTTTTGTGGTACAAATATATACCATTATTTAAATAAGTAAATTTTTATAGATTTATTTATTTATGGATTTTATTTTATGTATAAATCTGCTATACCATTCCATGAAATGAAATGGTAAAATATAATATATAAATAAAATTGGTGTTTCAATGTTTAATGTTTTAGTTAATGATACATGAAAATATATAAGGCTGAGTTAATTAGATTTTCAACAAAATACTTTTCCCAATTTCTTTCTTAGGTTCGAGAACTTTTCTCAAAATTGAGTTTTCCCAGCTCCTCTGAAATAAATGACATTTCTCACTTGCGAAAACGTTCGATCAAATTGATCTGCCTGTCAGGCGTGACACGATTCGATAGTTTTAAAAGTCGTCACCTAGCTCACGTTACACAACGTCACGTTACGATGACCAGCGTTGCTTATTGCCGAAGTAGGTCGCGAAAATTTGTAGGTCACACGGTGGAGTTGCGACGAAAGACGCCGAGGTGATAGTTCTATTCCGGAGCAACCAGTAAAAATCCATACGATTCGTGATCTCCCTTCTGCAAATGCAGCTTTTATTACGGTGATTATAATTAATATCGCGACACATAAAAGCTCTAATGCTTGTTTTTTTTTTTTTTTTTATAAAAACTAGAAAGCCATTACGTACATAATTCACGGAACACTCCCTGACAGTGCCATATAAGATCGCGCGCTGATAATCGCAATCGATATAGCGATATCGCATCGGAAAAAGCTTGGCTCGCGCTTGAATTTTTTTAGTCGAATAATTTCTTTATCGATAAATAAGAATTACAGATAAACCTTAATTCTTTCCTGAGGGACTAACAGTGATAAAAATTCCGTTGGATGTTCGGATCGATCGGCGCGTTAACGCCACGGTATAGACGGATGGCCGAATGGATGAAGGGATATTTTTGACCGTGGGCCATCAGCTTCATTTTAATTGAACGAATTGAGCTTCGGGAAATGAAGCTGTAGCAAAAATTGTCCGCGACTACAACGAGACAATTTGCGAGTACACGTGGAGCAAGCGCGAGCGCGACCATTCCGGGTAGAATTTTCGTGACACCGTAAGCGTGTAGTCGATGTAGAAAGTAGGTTAATTCTAGAACGCGGTTATCCCGGAGGACGAGGTGGATATTTGGGCCATGACCAGGTCGCGATCAATATAGCGTCCCGACGGCGAAGCCTGCATCGAACAAGACGCCCCTTTCACGCTCTGGAACGGGGATCGATATCGTCGCAGAATTCCCTCGGAGATTCCGATCGAAATATCGAATCTCTCGTCGACGTCCCTAGCCCGCGCCCTGATTTTACATCTTGTCTCGTTAGCTACGGGCTGCGGATTCTAAACCTACGGCGACGTCGCTCCACTTTCGGGGAACTCCGATGTGCCGATTCGCGCAGCTCGCGCGAGTGATCAACTTCTAATTTATACTTCGTGAATTTCAATTACAATTCCCTCCTTGGCGAGATACGAGGAATAGATTGTCGCGATTTGCCAATTTTTTTAGATGACGTCGATCGACGAAATAATAGAATAAGAGAGACCAATGATAAATAGTTTAATCGTGTAAAGCGTGAACACGAGAAGGAGTTTTGCGATTTTTCGAGGGCTGGGGTAGGGACTGGAACCGGTACATACCTCGGCGAGTTCACTGATTTCGGTATCGCGTATACGCGGAAACGCGTTTCCCACGTTGCTCGTGAGAATAGGACCGACGACCTCGCAAAGGCGCATTTTTCCGCACGCGTAGCGGTTGGGTATTGAACTCGCCGAAATTATAACGGTTCCAGTCCACGATCGAGATAGAGTAAGCGAGCGGAGATGCGTATTCGCGCGTGGGTGTCCCGAGACTCGAGTCGGACGTCGAGAACACACACCTTGACTAAAACCCGATTCGTTATGTATGTTGCAGGCACACATGAAGTTCCCGCCGGATTATCCGTACAGTCCACCGAGCATTCGTTTCATGACAAAAGTTTGGCACCCGAATGTATATGAGGTGAGTGAATATATACGGGAATTATCGATCCCCCGCATGCTCTCTTTCTCTCTCTCTCTCTCTCTCTCTCTCTCTCTCTCTCTCTCTCTCTCTCTCTTCTCTGTAGCATATGGTAAAATGAATAATAAAATAATATGTCGTATAAAAATACGAATGTAAAATTGAATGGCTTTTAAATCGACTATTTTTAAAGCATTTCCCCTTTATCTCGTCTCGAGTGTTCAAAACTGGTTGACTCGTTCGCTAATCGATTGATAAGCCGAGCAGCCTCGTTACATAACTGTAATTATTTCGCAAACACAATTATCACGTTAATTGTATCACTAGGTACCCGTTTCATTTACAGTTAAATTCCTATTTAGCTATTTAGTTGAAAACTTTTCTTGCTTACATCGCGTGCGCTAATATCACGTGCGCGATCGTGGCAGAGTCACTAACTAGCAAAGTGAAAATGCAGCGACGTCTCCACGTCCAACGAGGCAAATCGTAAAAGACTACCAACTCTCGTTTGTACAAAGGAAATTAATCGTACGTAGAAAGGCCGTCTCGCTTGTCTCGCTTTTTCCACGCCGCGTGAAATTTTATTTCGATGATAATCTCGTCGCGTTGCGCAAATCCACGTGGAAACGGCACTTACTCCAATATGTAGAGGTCTTTCGCAATCGAAGCCGATCGTCGTGGAAGGTCTACCTGAATATATACCACGCGACTCAACACGTGCATGGTGTTCGCTCTTCTCGCAGGCCAACTTTCCCCGTCGTGAAATTGAATATTATTTGTACGCGTGTATATCTCGCACGTTACGCGAATCTTCCTCGATCTTTGTCGGACGTGTAAGCGACTTGATTTACACTCGTTACGATACAAATCGACATTTCATACCCTGACATATCCAGGGAGGAGGGTTGGAGATTCAAACACCTCTCTCTCGAAATTAAAAAAAAAAAAGGAGATAAAATAAAGTTAAATTTATAATTTACAAAATCTAATATTTTTTCATTCAAAATCCGGAACGAGGAGATATTCTAAGCTCTAAGATATTCGAAAGAGCAATTCATTAATGAAAAAGATTGCTGTTTAAATGTCAATAAAATTAATAAAGATCTCTTCCGAAAAAAAAAAAATTCTAGATACTATGATGATGAAAAATGAAAGATGTACAAAGACGTTAATTTTGTATAAGGAGATTTTATATCGAGCCAGGCGCTTTAATTTTTTTTAAATGGTTTAGAATCGGTTTTTTTATCATTTTTTTCCATACTTCTCACGTTTTTTTCGCTAAGATTTCGATATATAGATATGTTGCCGGTCATCTCCGCTGGTTTACGTCTCGCGATTCTGTGCGCCGGCACTCGTCGGCCTGCTCGTACGAATGCACGCACGAACACAGCGATGTTATCGCTGCCGGAGCGGTCGTGTCAAGTGCCGGGCGTTTACTCGGGGAGCTCGCCTTCGCCTTCGTGGCTTATTACGAGGTGTTCGGAGTCGAGCCACGGTGAAACCACGATGCGCCTTGTCCTACTTCGCCAGACGTCTTCGCGCGAGAGAAACGAGAGACAGAAGCGTTTCTCGCGAGGAAACGCGTGCAGCGAGTCCTCCGCGATTTTCACGATGCTCGACACGCGTTTGCGGAATGGTTCGAGATCTTCGTTTTCTCTCTCACTACATTTTTTTTTCTTTTTTCTTTTTTACCGCCACGTTTATGTACCGACCGTACTTCGCGCGCTTCAATGGTTTTATACGACGTATTCGATAATCTTAACTCGAGAGAAATCATCTCTCGCTTCCCTTTCAATATGGTATAGAACGCACGATGTCCTCGGCGACTTCACTTCACATACCGTAAAGGTACATCCGGAGGTCTTGTCCTTCGGACGATATCTTCTCAGGAACGACAAACGCGGAACCAAAAGCGCCGAGGTCGCCGCGAAAGGAAAACAGAATTGTGAACGCCGCACTCATATACTCGCGGCTCTAATTTCTTTTTGTTAAATAATTTAATGTAAATCTGGTATATCTAGGAATTTAGGGAATGTGCACAAATATCCTTTTAAATTGACACGAACATTCTCGTGCTTGATTCAGTTTCTAAATTAGTTATT